AACCATCCTACAAAGTCAAATCGAATTTTTTTTATGAATTTTGAGTCGCTTGTTTATGTTTTTTGGCATAATAGTACCTTGGCAGGGAGCCTACCTGAGTTGTCAATCACACCTTGTTTAATACAACTTGGTTATTACAAAATACGAAAGAAGTTCCAGCTTATTTTTATATGGAAAAAATCTGAGTATTTCTTCTGTCACGGGTGGGACAAAAAAAAAGAACCTGGAACGGATATATTTTACGGAAACTCTGCGAATTTATTTCACTTTTCTGTGTGAACTTGATGCCTTATAATAAAACAATGAACCACGAATACAAACAAAGCAAAAACTACAACAAAAATGATGGCTTTATTATGAAAAAATTCGAAATGGGACACGTACGAATTTTTTTATGAAAAGGAGCTTTTAGTATGGTCCATATTCAAGATTAGTTATTAAAAGATATAAGAAGCCAAGTAGGGGTTGAATTCAGTCATGTTTTATCTTAGGAAAGTGCATTTTATATGGAAGAAAAGGCTTAGCACCGCCTACTAAAAAAAATTATTAAGCGTCTTGAAATTTTCACTTTTACCTACTTAAGTTTAATGGGCTATAAAACTGCATAACTGAATAAAAAGTTTAAAATTTTTGGGTGTAATTGTTAAAGTTTGTTGAATTTTTATAATTTTTGTATGGCTTGAAACGTGGATTTATGTGGTTCTGGTTATGTAATGTGCTAGACTTTTATAAAAAAAACTATAAACATTAAATAAACCAAAGAAAAAACCAAAACTGGTGAAAATGTCATCTTTTTGGTTGTTTGTGTTTCCGACAGGGTAGGAGTATGATGTATTGTGGAACGATTTTCCGTCATCACTTGTCAAATTTGGTTTGGAGACAAACCGGTTTCGGCGTTGTGCCATCTTCAGTGTAATTTTTCGTTCTGAATAGTTCGTGTTTCCTTCCGCTTTTTATGTATTCGTGTTACTATCTGTTTTAACTGTCATTAGGTCATGCATACCCATCTAAGTGCGACCGCTTTTGTTTCATTATCTCACAGGTAGGTGCTTTTTGGTTGCTTGTATTCGCCGGCGGGTAGAAATCCGTTATTTTTATTTTCTTGGTTTTCGTGATTGCGTCGGTTTATGTTCCGTTATTTAGCAGGTATTAGGTTGCTTGCTTGTGCCGGCAGATAGAAATCCGTTATTTTCATTTTCATGGTCTCTGCGGCGTAGGTATGTATCTTCGCGTTGGCGTTTTTTTCCGGGGTCTTCTCATATTTTTCGTATAACATCTTGAGTGGTTCGAATATTACATCGGATACGGTGTTTGTTTGTTCGTTTATAATTCTCCCTTGAAATGTTTTCTGCTTNTACCCATTCCTAGTCCATTTATTTGCCTGTATATTTTGTTGTTAAATCGGAAATAATTTTGGTTTATCGTAGTCTTCAAAGTATTGATAATTTCTTTTGCGATTTTCTTTTCCGTTTTGCCGCGTAATATTCTAAATAAAATATCCATTGTCTCTGTTGTTGGTATTGACGGGTAAAGATCCTTTATATCAAATGATACCAATTTAGTATTATTAGTGATATGTAAGGGCGTCATCTTTTCTATAAGCTCTGCCGCGTTTGTGACTATATATTTATTGGGTAACTCTAGTTTGTTCTTTAGTATGATCTTCAGGTATTTCGAGAGTTTGTATGCCGGAGCCGATCTGTAGTTAATAATCGGTCTCATCGGGTTACCTGGTTTCTGTATTTTAGGTAATGAAATCATTGGAGGGGCCGAAGGGTTCATTGATGTTAGTCTTCGGAAACACGAACTATTCAGAACGAAAAATTACACTGAAGATGGCACAACGCCGAAACCGGTTTGTCTCCAAACCAAATTTGACAAGGGATGAAAATATCACTTAAATTAATCAGCTGACCAAAAGTGTATATAAGTAATGGGCGAGTTCGCGCTCACATGCTTCACTGTTGAATTACTCTCTATGTGGAAACGAAAATTCAATTGTGGTAAACATTTCCAATAAAGTTCTAACATTATGTAAAAAACCCGAAACACAACTTAAACTTCTGTAATTAAATATAACAACTTTTAGCTTTTTTTGTCACGGGTGTGACAAGACCAATCCTGCTTAATAATAACTCTATACTATACTATATGTCGGCCGCTGTGGTGTAGTGGTAAGCAGTGCGCGCTTTCACTCATCAGCACCTGGGTTCAAACCCTGGTCAAAGCAACATCGCAAAAAAATATAGAAAAAGGTTTTTTCTTAACAGCGGTCGTCCCTCGGCAGGCAATGGCAAACCTCCGAGTGTATTTCTGCCATGAAAAACAGCTTCTCATAAAAATACAATCGCCGTTCGGAGTCGGCGTAAAACTGTAGGTGCCTCCGCTTTGTGTGACAAATCAAGGCGCACGCCACAAGTCGCAAAAGTTGTTTCAACACAACCTACTTTAAACTCTTTAAAATAATTTACTTAGAACTTGATTTTAAAACGTAAAAAAAGGCAGTCAAAATGCATTTAAAGCTTTAATTTGTTATTTTTTGGTTGGTTCAACAAATGTCTTATCCCCACGTTTATTCGTTTTATAAAGAAAATAATTTTTGCACTGAAGTTCAGTTTCCCATGGAACCTCCCATAAACATTAAATAAGCGAAAGGGGAATAGCCAAAGAATGCTAAAAAGTCTATTCCCCATTTATATTTTCGCCACTGTATCTACAGCTTATATTTTTCATATCCATGATTTTTGAGGGAGTTAGTATCATTTTTTATAATTTCACTAAATTCAAGTTAGAATCGTTTCATNTTCATATCCATGATTTTTGAGGGAATTAGTATCATTTTTTATAATTTCACTAAATTCAAGTTAGAATCGTTTCATTAAAAAAAAAACTTAACAAACAATTATAAAACCCTTAAAAAAATCGAGACAAAAGGGTGGTCCAATATAAGTAAAGTCGGAAATGTAATGCTCTCACCCCCTTAGATTGTTCTATATCGAAAAAAGTATACCCCTATTTTTTTGTTTAGACATCAAAAAATATTTAGAGGTCGCTTAAAGTGCTCAAGTTTGTCCATGTATTTTATATGGGGAAAAAACAACTTTTCGTGGAAATGATATGGAATTCTTGAAAATCAATATTTTTCGGTCGGAAAACTCTGGTTCTTTTCATGAGACTTCCATTAATAATATCCAATTGTTTATTTAATCATTTTTTAATACTAAAGATATTTTTTCGTGGTTTTGGCGGACCTATAAACTATAGTTACTATGAAAAAATTGTTAAAAAAAATAATCGGGTATTATTATTGGGAATCTTCTGAAGAGAAACAGAGTTTTCTGGTCGAAAATATTGATTTTAAAGAATTCTCTACCATTTCTATGACAAAAATATAAATACGTGGAAAACTTTGAGCGCATTGAGCGACCTCTAAATATTTTTTTGATTTCAAATTAAAAAATAGGGTTATATTTTTTTAGGTATAGAACAATCGTAGGGCGTGAGAGCATACTTCTTTACATGCATTTTTGGACCACCAACTACTAGAGTTACTAGAGCAGATATCGTATTCCTGTAAATTACCGTTATATGGGAGGTGGGCGGAGCTATTGCCCGATTTCAAAGATTTTTAACAGATTTCTTAACCGGACCTTAGGCAAGACTCTTACCGAGTTTGGTCAGAATTGGTGAAGCGGCTACTGAGATACGGCATTGCATCATAAGTGGACGGGGTCACGCCTATTTTCCAAAAATTTCATAACCATATCTATTATTTTTTTAACAAAATTCTACTTCACATACTAATTTTCTACAATTTAGATCCAATATTTAGTGAAATATCGCAGTTTTTGCATTTTTCGAAAATACCGTTATATGGCAACTGGGTGTGGTTTCAGTCTTGAGATATCTCAATTTTTGTTCGAGTTATCGTGTACACGGACGGACGGATGGACAGACAGACAGACATGGCTTAATTGATTTTTCNGTATGGCAACTGGGTGTGGTTTCAGTCTTGAGATATCTCAATTTTTGTTCGAGTTACACGGACGGACGGATGGACAGACAGACAGACATGGCTTAATTGATTTTTCTATTCATTCTGAGAATTTGTGTATATAAAACAACCGTTATGAGAATAAAGTTAATATGCCCTTGTGCACCAGTGCGCTCCAAGCAGCCAAATCGGCCTACAAATAAGTTAGATATAGGACTTTTATTTATTTTTTTCCCGGTACACCTTCCGCTGGAAACGCCCATATGAAGAAAGGTGTAATCCGACCATGCACTTCAAATGGTAGCTTTCGCACTTCACAGCACATTCACATTTTTAATTATATGTTCAAAAACTTCAATAACATTGCTTAAGTAACGTTGAAGATATGAGCGTTAAAGTAAAGGAGTATTTTCGAAAATGCACTATATAATTTTTTTGTATAGTTTTTTTTTTATTTTGCTCCATATTACCCACAGTGTTTGTTACCTTTGCGTATAACAGCCGGCATTTAAAACCTGGTTTTGATATGTTCTCAAAACGAGTATTTGATCCAAAATCGGCCGCGCTTTAGAGATCGGAAAACGGTTAGGAGATTCACGGTTATTTAATTTTTAATTATTTTTGAGCTGAACGTCCCCTAAATCAGAACGATATGTCTAAATTATGTATATACATATGTATCTTTAAGATATTAAGATTCATTTGCAAAAGACAAGTAAAAATACACTTATTATGTCGGAAGGATCACTCTGGAGTCTGTTTTTGAAATGCACGACAATTTTGAAAAAATTACACCTTGTATGTATTTACATATGAATATATGTGAATGCATGTTCGTAGTCATCATGATAAATTACATTGTAAACACGACTAATAACATTGCATTGCATACATTAATTCAGCTCAGTTTCAGTTGCTACTTTTTGCTCATCAGCTCAGGCGTCTCTTTAGACTTTTTAGCACCTTTAAGATCTACTAAGAATCCAGCATTACTTTTAAAACTTAGTATACTTTTCAGGTACGGACGTTAAGGTGTACACAGTCGGTCCGGATTATGCACACGCCGAAGCTCGAAAGTCTCCTGCGTTGGACGGAAAAGTGGAGCGGGATAGCGAAGGCAAAGAGATTCGATATCCGGTAATCTTAAACAATGCAGAGAAGCTTATTTCGCGCAAGGTTTGTTTGGCTTTTAAGCAGACTGTCTGCGGCTTTGATTTACTGCGGTGAGCATATTGAAATTTGTTTAGCAAGAAAAACATTTCATTTTATATAGTAAATAAAATGTTTGATTTGTTTTGCATGGCACAGCGCAAATGGTAAATCCTACGTATGCGACGTTAATGGCTTCAGCTTCGTTAAGAACTCAAATAAGTATTACGATGATTGCGCTAAGATACTGGGTAATATGATATTGCGTGAGCTCACGCCGACGTTGCATATACCGTGGCTTGTACCCTTCCAACTGGACGATCCGCCCATTGTGCCGACAACATTTGGCAAAATGATGGAATTGCGTTGTGTGGTTGCGGTAATAAGACACGGCGATCGTACGCCTAAACAAAAAATGAAGCTTGAAGTGCGGCATCCTAAGTAATAAAAAATTCAAAATATATTAACATTGTATAAATATGTACATATGTATGTATGTTTGTATATTCATCTCGTTCACAGATTTTTCGAGATATTTGACAAATATGATGGCTATAAGGATGGTCACGTTAAATTGAAACGTCCAAAACAATTGCAAGAGATTTTAGACATTGCGAGATATTTGCTATCGGAAATACAAAACAAGTCCGCGGACGCTGAAATACAAGAAAAGGAAAGCAAACTGGAACAGCTGAAAAATGTATTGGAAATGTAAGCACGCGTGCTTGTTTTTAAATTCTTTTTGTATTTATAAACACATTATCATTCAGGTACGGACACTTTTCTGGTATAAATCGCAAGGTGCAAATGAAATACCAACCAAAGGGTCGTCCCCGCGGGTCCAGTTCCGATGACGGTAATACTTAAAGAATGGTCACACGTGATTGGCGCTTAAAATATACAGCAAATTATTTACTTAAATAGTACTCAATTAGGTGGTTTACAAGGTGTTGTAAGTGTCGTATTGCCTTACGCCTTAGGACTTGAATAGACAACGAAATTATTTTTTACTGTGTGAAATTTCATAATATGACGTTTATGGTACCTTTAGAACCCCCTAAATATATTTTTAGCCATTTAAAGTCTACGACATACAACAATACGATACTAACGACACAATTGTGAATACCCCGAATGTGAAAGATTTGAAATGATAATCGAAATATTTTATATTCCTAAAGCAGAATATACACAAGTAGACTTGTCTGTACTACATGTCAAGTATGACGTACCGTCGCATCGTGGATAGGCGGGTGTGCATACCAAATTCCAGGTCTGCAGACATGTATAAAGGAAATTTAAATTTTTCAATTTGTTTGCTCGTTGTTGCGACAGGTATGAACGTTTATAGTACACAATGCAGACAGAACTTCATATGTGTATAGAAAAGTACAAACCCAGCAAACATTTGGAGTAACAAATAAGGCAATTTTATTTTTTAAACTAATTCGCATTATATCTTTACAGAACACTATAAGGATTAATCATTAAAATAATACATTTTAATAGTTTAAATTTTTTATTAATATCTTTATGTAACTACATACATATATCATATATCGTCACCTGAAATGCAATACGACGGAAAAAACATCGTTCCTGAAATGCAAAAAGTCGTAACTGATAAAGAATTCAAAATTCACTTTTGATTAATATGATGGATTCCATCGAATTACAACTCCCCACATCGTTTTATGAAAAAAAATATTAGTCACGAATTTTTCTACTTTATTGAAGTTGCTTTTTACGACTTTTTCCATTTCAGGTGACGATATGTATAACAAAGATACTAACACATACTTCCATATACATATGTATGACAGAAACTTTCGGAAACTTTCCTCTACGTTGTGTGCGTGGTGGGCGGAGCGGGAGAGGCACGGTCATGAGCCGCTGTTTACAGAAATGCAACTCCTTCCCGGCTGCCTTACAAAAATGGGGAAAAATCTAAATTTTCGCTTGGTTTGATTAGATGAAGGCACTGACTTGAGCCTTTCCGTGTTGCCGGAGAAGAGAGGGCCCACCCATGGTATATACCATTTCTAGTGCATAAAGGTAAAGGCGTCAGGCTCCGGTGTTTTTTTTTAAGCTCCTTTTGCGTGGGCGGTCTTCGGCCGCGCTTAGGGATTAAACACTTACTAAGTAGAATTCTCCTTTCTGTGTTGCCGGAGGAGAGGGGCGGTGGCCACCCGAAACTTTTGCAAATTATTTATTGAAAAAAAAAAAACCGTATTAGTATATTCATCAAAAAACCTACAAATTTGACTCAATAACGAGCCGCGTGTGAGGGCAATAAGAGTCCAGTATGAATAATTTGTGCCTATAAATACTTGCTGGGAAGACGTAGATCCGTATGCCGTTATGTTCGTTCACTTCAACGATTACAACGAAATGAAGTTTGAACAACGTGTCGCATAGGTGTATACTGAACTGACAAGCGACCAAGTATGCATACAAGTCTGATTGTGTATATTCTGCTTAAGCCATGATTCAATAATGAAAGGTTTTTTAAGAAAAACTTTCTCTTGCTCGAATTTTATCAATGACACTCCCTCTACTCCTAAAAACAAAAACAGTGATATTTCTTTTCCAAATTTCTTTGCAAGTTTTAAGAATATTTTTAAAATCTTAGTAGTAAAATGTTTACTTTTTAAATTTGAAGAAATGGTTGTTCCTGAGAATCGTTGGCCCACAGAAATTCAATGTAGGCTAAAGAGACGAAATTCCCTTAAATGCCGAAATGTATTTGTCGACATTCGTGAAGACCTATAGATTCTGCCAAGTCGTGGTAAAGTAAAGCGCGCAATTGTTCTCGAAAATGAGGCAACGAATGTATTTAGGCATTGACCTACACAACACAATCGTGGTGTCTCCGAATGAGACTTTGACGCAATATAATATTTGCAAACCTTATCCATGGGCTAGGTTAAGTCACTGGAGCGATTTTGTAATTGCAATCGTTCAATAGCAGCGTGACGTTTTCATTCTTCCTGAGTTCGACCAGCACGAATCGCCAATCGCGACTGTGTTAGACAATCTTTGATATTCTGATCCGTGGCATAATGTCACCCGAACACTAAGGCCCAGTTTTCCAGTGCACGACTGTGATTTAAACTTAGATTAACTGCTCGAGCTGGTCAAGACAACGCGGTTTACGTGATCTCAGTTTAAACTTGCACTGAAAAACTGGCCCTAAAAGTTCAATATCAAAGAATTCGTGTTACCGTATTAGAAGCAATCGAGGCATAACCGCGAAAGAAAAGTAAGCGATAAATGTTTTTTATGGCGTCATTTTTATCAAAATTATATAATTTTTCCACAAACAATTTCTTCATATCCATCAACCGTAAATGGTACCGCAAAGAACTTATAAGGCAAAAAAAAACAACAGATAAACAGCTCAAAGTGGGCCATCCATTCTCAAGTTGTACACGATCTGACGTTCGCAACCTTGGTATATATCGACTCCTAATTGCGATTTTATCGTAAGCGACAAATTATCGAAAAAAATTTTTTTGGTGTAAATAGGTCACAAATACTAGTTACAACGTCCTACAAAATTACAGACTTTGAATATATACCGTTTCGGAAAAAAGCAAGATTAATTTTATCGTTTACTTTGTTTACACTTTCCTACAATTTTATCATTGATAGCAACACTATGTCTACAGAACTTTATTATAAATAGCAGTTTGAACTGTAGTTGTAACCAAAGTTCCATGGGCACTTGCTACAACTGAATTACTCAAAATCAGCTTCTTTCCCTCATAAAAATTAAGTGCATTATGCAATTGCAGCTGCAATCACTAAGTGCAGCGCAGCTCGTATGTCGGTGTCCTTTTTAAAACTCTTTCATGCCCTCGTATAGAAAAAATTGCAACTGATTTCGAATCGCCATCTTAACACCAGCTCATACGGCCATATGGATTTACAAGAAAACTTGGGGACAATCAAGTAGATGCACCAAACGAAAATATGTTGAGCTTATTCTGCTGATTGGCAGTGTTTATATTTAATTGATTTAAAATTCAGTTTTTTTCAAACAATACTTAAAGTACCCGCAGTCCTTCGTTTATAAATGTCCAAATTATACAACATAAAAACTATCGCCATCGCCAATCCTTTGATAACTTTCCTCTACATGTTCAGGAAAAATATCGTAAGCGCCATTTTACGTTTAGGTCCGCAAAAAATAAATAGTCCCATTAGAAAGCTAGCATTCAATAATATTGTTGTCCATTTAAATCCAAATAAATTTGTATACTGTTTAAGGGAGAATTAAAAAAAAACCTCTCTTGTGAAATTAGGCGTCGTATCTACATACAAATAATTATTTTTAATAACTATCAGAGGTTATATTCGATGTAACTAAGTTGGTTTCAATTAAATAATCAAAGCAAATACTACCATGCACTATTATGAACACCTTTTTGTGGAATTTCGCTACTTTTTGAAAGGTGATTGAATTCTTCCCCTTTTCCTTCTGCTTAAAAAAAAAACATCCCTGTGGGTGGGAGTGTCAAATTTTAGAAAAAAACTACTTACAAAACCTTTGATAGGTTTGTTCCACAAGCTACTAGAAGTTACGAGTTACACACACGCGTTGCACAAGTAAGTTTTAGAGTTTCTTCTTTGATATACGCTCACAGTTTGAACTTTGCTCGAGCTTTTCTACAAGTAGCTTGTGGAACAAACCTACTAATTGAATCATGTTCCTAAACTACATAAATGTACGTACATATGTATGTAAATAATGTCGCATGCCAGCAAATTTGCAACTAACAACATTTTTGTAATATCTTCTGTTTCGATTTTTCTTTTATTTGCTTTAATTATTTGTGCTTTGAAGTAGATGCACCGAAGGAGCCGTCACTTGTTTTGATCCTTAAATGGGGCGGGGAGCTAACTCCTGCAGGTCGTATTCAAGCTGAGGAATTGGGTCGCATATTTCGTTGTATGTACCCTGGTGGTCAGGGTCGGCAGGACTACTCTGGCACACAAGGATTGGGCTTGTTGAGGTGAATTCATAATAAAATATTTTTGAAAATATAAAAACTCTTTTAATTACTAGACTGCACTCCACTTTCCGGCATGATTTGAAAATATATGCCTCTGACGAAGGCCGTGTCCAAATGACAGCAGCCGCATTTGCTAAAGGATTGCTGGCTTTGGAGGGAGAGCTTACACCGATTTTGGTCCAAATGGTTAAGAGCGCTAACACAAATGGGCTGCTGGATAATGATTGTGACTCTAGTAAATACCAAACCCTGTAAGTGGATACTATTTAGTATAGTATTTTTAATGCATTCGAAAGAAAATCAAATAAAAAAACAGCATTCGCACGACTGCCGGTTTTACGTACCGGAATGACTCGGGTTTTACCCGGCTGTTGTTTCAGCGATCTAACCCCGTTTAGGTCGGTGAAATACTTCAAGCGTTTTTCGTCCATAGAGCTACATGTGCTACGTACTCTTCTGCTCAGGGCTGGTATCGAGTCAAACCCTGGGCGAGAAACCTACACCTTCTGCGTGTGGCAGAGACGGCTACATCCTAACTCTACCGCAGTCAGGTGCATGTAATGGGTGGAGTCACCTACGAGCATGCTCAGGCCTCAGCACTCATCGGCAGTAGACCACGGCATACGTGGCCACCTGCTGCTCAAACAGAGTCGTCTCCGCGACACACACGGGCCCGCTTCAGCATCTCAACACAAACAAGACCGCACCACAACACAACACAATAGACCATACAACAAACACAATAGACCACACCACAGACACAACAGCACCACCACACATTCACGCCGCCGCCAACAACTCTTAGTTCCTCCGACAATCTGCTCGGTGTGCCAGGCCAGGATATTCCGTAACGTGACATCAGTCAACTGCAATACCTGCCTGTTGCGAGAAGGCAACATACATCACTCACATCCCACATACAAATAAGTCTCCCTAGGCACACGAAGAATTTGCAGATTCATTGTAACGGACTTCAAAGCAAGGTCGAGGAGATAACCACCTTTATGGGACGGCATGGAATATTAATTGCTGCGAAGTTGCACAGCAATTCAACATTGCGAGATAATGGTGGTGGCGTGGCATCGATCGCAGGGTTACCAACCTAGAATGTCAGGGTATTACTATCGGGCCAGGCGATGTCGAGCTCGAAATATTTAAGGCTTACATACCCCCTGTTACCAGCTGCCCGACAGGATATCACCATATGATAGTCGGTGACTTTAACGCGCACCACGACCTTTGGCATCCAAGCCTATCGAATTATCGTAGGGGACACTCTTGGCTGAGCAGATGGACAATTCGACATTCTGCACAATGAACGATGACGCACCTACCAGGATTATGGGCAGCTGCAGCAGTTCGACTGATATAATAATTGTAAGCGATGGTCTGATAAACAGCATAACGTGGCGACCTATGCTGACCTTAGCATCAGACCACCTGCCCATGTCACCTCTATTAATAAACCTGCCGAGTTCGCTTCCGCGAAACACCGAACCTACACCAACTTTCCTAAAGTTGATTGGAACGGCTTCGTGGAAGTTACTGAAAGCACCTTCTCTGCCCTTCACACACCAACCGAGGCTCACGTAGGTGAGCGTAAGTTCCGCAGGGTTGTCACTGCTGCTGCAGCCCGCTTCCTCCCCAGCTGGATGCATTTCAGACCCCCGTCCGAATTTTCCTGCTGAAGCGGCTGTCCTAGCCAGTGAGCGTGACAACCTTTGTCAGGGGTTGCCCGCATCAGGGATCTCAATAAGGAGATCGGCAATTGTCTCTGACGAATGATCGATAACATGCAGCATAAAGCAACCTCTGGACCCGACAGCATACCGACAGGTCTTGAACGGCATTCACAGGGATTCAGTCTCGAGTTATGTAGACTCTCGACTTGTGTCTGCCGTTTTAGGTACACAACCACCAGACGTAGACGAGACAGAGCTTCGACATACATTGACCAATCACTGGACCCGACGACGTACCGACGAGTCGGTCACCACCTACCACGACTCCGTGCATGCCGTGATCGCGGCCCAATGACCACCTGTAGCAGACACGGAGCTTCAACTACCAGAGAGACCCGCGTTACTCTGGCCCAGTTACGGTCTGGATATTGCAGTCATCTCAACAGCTACCTGTCCAGACTCTTATACCCCCAATGAGTGTCCGGCATGTGGAGACTCGCCGCACGCATGTCAGCTCAATCCCACTCAACTCACACCCCTCTCCCTTTGGTCCGACCCCGTCGAAACTGGCGTTTTTTGTGTCTACCGTTAGTTGAGCTTGACGGCAACGATCGATGGACAAACCATAATGAGCGGGGCTTAGTAGTGCCGCTACAACGACATCAACAACGTCTTTAAGTCTTTATTAGAACAAAATATTAAGGGTGATTACAATCTTTTGTGATATATTTCGGTGCACTTTTCAGTAGTTTAAGCTCAAATGAACCACAAAATGTGACAGTTTTTAAATTACACATTTTTTCTACAAATATAGATAACACAGGCCAACAAAAATGAAAAAAAATGTTGGTGCGACAAATGTTAAAGCTATTTTTGATATACTTTTTTGTGCTGATTACGAATCCGNCTTTTTTTTTGTAAATGGTTAAAAGTTCTTGTTGTTAATGCTAAATAAAAGAAAGGTAATTTAATTACTTTTCTGTTTGTTATAAATTCTTTCAAAAAAATTAACTTTTTTTGCAAAAATTTCTATGTTTTGGGTACGGCCTTGTGCGAGTGCAGAATGCTAATTACAATAAAGGTAGTCTTATTATTTTTCTTCTAGATATAAATTATTTTAAATAAATTCACTTTTGTTATAAAAATTTTTAAGTTTTGTGTACTGCCATAAGTGAGTGTAAAACACAAAGTTGTTAGCCAAGACTTGTTTAAAAAAAAATATTTGAGAATCATGAATGGTTACACATATTAAAATAAAGGTAATTTATTTACCTTTTATTTGGTCATAAATTCTTTTAAAAAAATAAACTTTTTTTGTAAAAATTTTGAAGTTTTGTATACTGCATACAATGGNTTAAGCTTAAACTTTCTTGAACTTTCGACTACAATCCCTAAAAATACCATCTCTTCGTCTTGATCCTAAGATCACTTATAGTCGTTTATTGAACAGCAAAAACTGATTTTGGCAGCATTTTTTTTTTTCAATAGCACAATTTGCCAGCATTTTTTTTTATTGTTCAACAAATGACTATAAATGGCCATCAAGNGGAATCGAACCATAAATACTGGTTTACCAAATATATCGACTCGTGCACAATTTTTAGTGGAGTTATTCCTTTTTATGTAGTTTTAAATATGTAGTACTATACGTNTGAACGGAATCGGACCATAAATACTGGTTTACCAAATATATCGACTCGTGCACAATTTTTAGTGGAGTTATTCCTTTTTATGTAGTTTTAAATATGTAGTACTATACGTTCTAACTATGAACCAAATCGGACTATAAATACGGGGCTTTCAAATATCTCGACTCCTGCCCCACACAGTGTGCTTTTTGAACATTCCATGCGAATTAATCGTTGCGCTTTCGACAGAAGCAATATTTTGATATGAAGCAAAATGGTTTTGAAAGCTTATTTTATTCCCTTTCACGGAAAAATACTGCCATTGACCCAAAATTACTACTTGACCTTAAAAAAATTTGGTCAAAAATAGTGTTCTTTGAAAAAAACATGCAAAATCCATCGGATTTGTTTCAAAAAAAAATTTTTGTATATATTATAGATTTTGAGACGAAAAACGCTTCCACTGTTTAAAAATCAAAACAAAATTTTAACACCTCAATTTAAGAAATGCATTTTTGATTGCATTTTTTATTTGCATGCAGCTGTGCATCGTTCTTACAATTTGATATCACTCAAATAACGCTGTAGTGCTATTCAAGATCTTTAATTTGAGCCATGGTGGAAATCTTTAGGCCCTCTGAGAGCCAAGTTATAACAATTTTAAACCAAACTTCGAATCTGCAGTACGAGTTTTTACTCTGAAATTAGAAGAAAAAAAATGCAAAAATGTCGAATGAAATTTCGAAGTTTAACTTTAGAATCGCTATAATTTGGATCTCAAAGGGCCTATGGACTAGGCTCAAATTAAAGATCTTGAATAGTACTACAGCGTGCTTGTTATTAGAGTAATATAAAATTGTGAGAAGGATGCACAGCTGCATGCAAATAAAAAAAATGCTATCAAAAATGCATTTCTTAAGTTGAGGTGTTAAATTGTTTTATTCTATTTTTAAACAGTGGAATCGTATTTCTCGTATTAAAATCTATAATATTAGTGTAATAAAACATACAACATTTTTTTAACAAATCCGGTGGATTTTGCATGTTTTTTTCGAAGAATACTATTTTTGACCAATTTTTTTAAGGGCAAAGAGTAATTGTGGGTCAATGGCAGTATTTTTCCATGAAAGGGAATAAAATTAGCTTTCAAAACCATTTTGTTTCATATCAAAATATTGCTTCTGTCGAAAGCGCTACGATTAATTCGCATGGGGTGTTCAAAAAGCACACTGTGCGCCACCAATAGGATTAACACATATTTCGTACTGTATTGTTATCGGGCTCTGAGCCAACTGTTTCAAGTCTCTAGGTCATCGGGAAGTTGCCCAAAAATGTATTGCAAGATTTGCCCCTAACAAGCATACATTCGAAGCAAGTAAAATAATACTTTGTAAAAATACCCTTCCTTTTCAACTCAAAATTCGTAAAAAATTCCACGATTTCTTAATATTAATAAAATCCATAATATTTTCAGAGCAAAACAACGCCTACATGATTTGATGCGTGTTGATCGCGATTTCACAGCCGAAGATCGTGAGGCCATAAATCCTTGCAATAGCATATCAATAAATCAAGCTTTGGACTTCGTCAAAAATCCAGTAGAATGTTGTAATCACGTCCACAAATTAATCAAAGAGTTACTCACAATTATAAGCGTAAAGAAAGAAGATCCCAAAACTAAAGACGCCATACTATACCACGGTGAAACTTGGGACTTGATGGCACGTCGTTGGGAGAAAATTGAAAAAGACTTTAGCACAAAATCAAAACAATATGACATTTCTAAAGTTCCAGACATATACGATTGCATCAAGTACGATCTGCAGCATAATCAGCATACGCTGCAATACGATCAGGCCGAAGAGTTATACATTTACGCTAAATATCTGGCTGATATCGTAATACCACAGGAGTACGGTTCAACTGTGCAAGAAAAATTGGCCATCGGCCAGGGTATCTGCACGCCACTGCTCAAAAAGATCAAAGCCGATTTGCAGCGAAACATCGAGGAAGTAGGCGATGAGTCGGTAAATAGGCTGAATCCGCATTACAGTCATGGTGTGGCCAGTCCAGGCCGCCATGTACGCACGCGTTTATATTTCACCAGCGAAAGTCATGTGCATTCATTGCTGACTGTTTTGCGCTATGGCGGCCTGCTAAATGTGCTTAACGACGAGCAATGGCGGCGTGCTATGGATTATATTTCGATGGTATCTGAACTGAATTACATGTCACAAGTCGTAATAATGTTGTACGAAGATCCGACCAAGGATCCCACATCGGAAGAACGCTTCCATGTAGAGTTACACTTTAGCCCTGGTGTTAATTGTTGTGTACAGAAGAATTTACCACCTGGTCCAGGCTTTCGTCCACACTCACGGAATGATTCTGGCAATCCTAAGCAAATGGTGAGTACCACAGTAGACTAGAAAAGTATGATGTGAGTATTTTATTAATGTTCATATGTTCACCTGCGTGAAAAGGGTTCCGTGAGTGGAATTTTGAAAAACAATTCTGCCGGTGACGAGGCGAATCCCGCACGCATAGAGGAAGAGAATGACTCAGAGGATAGTCCTATAAGGAGCCAATCAGATGTGAGCAATTCTTTATTAGTGCGATAATTATGACATAATTACACATCCCTTCTATATATTTGTTTTCAGGGCTACGAAAAGGATTCACCGCCACGCAACAATCACATAAAATCGAAACCAATACCAATTGGGGCGCATCACACCGTGAGTGGTCACGAGGCCGCGCACTTGGCTAAGCGCTTAAACGAAGAGCTAGCGTCACAACAACAAACCGTACAGCAGATCGGCTCATTGGAATCGCAACGCCCCATCAGTCCCGATACAGAGCCACGATCCCGCAGCTACGAACAACGCGATCCAAAGCGCGCTAAAGGTACGTATCGTCTGAGTTTTAATGAATTTTACGTTGTCGCTGCTGCGTTCGAGTACGTCTTTGTATTGCTTTCCAACAACTTGTTTCTACTTTTATAACACTTAACACGCTACTACCCACCTATAATCGTTAGATGGGCGGCATACGTTTAAAACCACCTAACTTTTTTCTTATTTTGTCAATTGTCCGCAAATAGCATGTGCCGTTCTATGGCGCGCTGCATTGGCAAAACTCCATATTAACCATTTATTGTATGTTTTACGGACATAATAACGCATTTGGAATACAAGGTTTAGTTTAGAGTCATAAAAAAGACGCGTGATAATTTATAATAATGAATGCACATATGTAACATGATAAAGAAAATTGCACGAGCCTTGTTTTGCCGCTCGACGACAGGTTGTAAGCCAGATCAAGCAGTTACAAAATTGTAATATTCTTCTAACACATTAAAATTCGTTATTTATTCATAAAAAACGGATTTAACAACTTCAGGCTTAGTTATTTGCTTAGTAATTGGAATGGATTCAGAAACAAGAATATTTGAAAAAAAAAAAAAATATATATGTAATTTACCAAGAGTATGGCTAAAATGTGGGAAATTTTTAAAAGGAATCTAAATTTTATAGTATTAATCCTATTTTACCGTAAGTTTATTACTTCTCAAACCCAGTAAAAGCATTACTTTTCCAGAATTCTTATTAAAAATCGAAATTGCTTAGTAAATTTCTCAGATAGAAAGTTTTAATCCACTAAGCCATGTATAATTTTTTATGAATAAGTAAGAGTTTCAGGATGTTTGAAATATTTTTGGCACAGTTTCGTGAATTATTCGATCAATGCTATGTTACTCAAGAAGATAGTTTTTATTGTTTTCCTGCTAAAAATTCTAATTCGTTTTCAACGCTAAAAACATATTTAACAGCATTGTTTTCGGTGCGTTTGTCCGTCTCTAAAGAAATTAAATTATATGTTTTTGTAGGATCAATACAAATACCTGCATATTAATACATACATCTTTTATGTGCACTAATCATATTTTAAAAACTTACTTATTTACTTTCTTATTAACATAATTCTACACATTTGTTTAAACTTTTTCACACAATGGCAAAATTTTCGTATAAGCATCTGGCTGGGAATTCCCGTGTATTTGGCTGAAATTCGGTGTCGTATTTTGCTGTCGTCTTTGAATACTGCTGTAAAAAATACATACAGATATATATTTTTCCAAGCTGTCATTCAAATATGCCATGCCAAAAGCTAGCCACTGGAAAATGTTAGTGGGCTTTCAAAAATGGAAAGCGATATTTTTATTAATTTCTGTTTTGTAATGAACTATAAAGTAGAAATTATAAAAATTTTTAATGACTGCCTTGCTTTAGCTTTGCAGCCATTGTACGCATTGCCAGCGGCTGACATTTGGTTTTAAATGTGTTTGAACTTCTCTCCATCATGTTCTTCATATAATTGTTTTAATTGAGTTTAGTTTGTTTAGATTTTGTTTTGTTTGTTTAATTTATTTTCTAAACTTTTCTCAATTATGAGTCCCGCACGTAAGCAAACAAATATTTTGTCCGTAGTTATATTACATACATACGTCTCAATAAAAATAGTTGCGGTTTACCCCGGCGAATCATAAAATTTTGTCTATTTTAGGGCGCTGAATAAAATATTTTGACCGAATTAACGGCCCTATCCGCAGTAGTTAAAGCAACTGGTATGCGATGAGTTTTGTCATTGGCATGCAAATAGGGTCATAAGATCACTCGTGGTCAAGGCTTCCAACTGCCCTTACCTACATATGAATGCCATAATACTGATAAAAAAAAGTTCCAAATAAAATGCCATTCTTATAAATCGCAAGAAAATTATTTCTTTCTTTCCCATTTAGAAATTGAATAAGAAGCAAGTTTCTAAAACAAACTAAAATAATCCAGTTATACGTGTACAATCTTTACAAACTAGGAAATTTTAGTTGACGAAAAATTAGTACACACGATGGATTTGGCTCATTGAGCCAATTTCAAAAATTAGGCACCATCTGAAGTAAAATAGGGCAAAAAAATAAGTGCGGTTTGAACCAAATTGAGAGGTCTGCTCGTGGTTTGGACCGTTTTGAAGTTATCTGCCAAAAAAAGTTTTTCATTAAAAGTAACCTTAGCCGATAAAAAAAATACATTCCTTGTCAAAAAATGTTCAGACATATTAAAGATAATGACACTTTTAATGCACTTTCCGACAACTTTTTAATGAAACTTTCATTCAGGGTATTCATCTAAATGCGTAGATGCTTCGAAAATGTGTAAACCTCGTAAATTACCCAGTTTTCCATACAAAATTAAGTAAGTTTACGAGGTTTATACAGTTACGAGGCATTTACGAATTTAGATGAATACCCTGATCGAGATTTTAATAACACAAGCATTTTTAACTGATTTCCTATTATAAAAATGGTGTATTTTGCTACGAGTTTCTGTCATCCCTTGTCAAATTTGGTTTGGATACAACCGGTTTAGGACTTATGCCACCTTCAGCAATTTAAGAAGCAATAAGAAAAGTTGTGACAAGTTTTCAAAACCTAAATAAACTCATGAAAAAATTAAAAGTAGATAGTTGAAAACAAGTAATTTAAAAACAAATTTCTTTAAGACAATCTTTTATAAGCGGTTAATAAAAAATCGACCCCGCAGCACCTAACGGCTAAAATTTTGGTTTCTTATTTCTTTCCATTTAAGTAACATACGTTCTAAATTTAAAACAAATCGGGCCATGAATATGGGTTTTCCAAATATATCGACTCCTGCGCCACCTATCGAGTAAATTTTAAGCGGATTGTTTACTATCAGGAAAGACGTTTATTTCGGACTTAAAAAATATCTGGCCATGTTCAACTGTTGAAAAAAAAAA